TCTCCACTCACCTTAGGATTAAACAGACTCCTAATAATCTAACTTTTCCACTTTAGGTATCTAAGACAGAGGTCAGCAAATTGCAACCCATGGGCTAAGTCTGGCCTGCCATCTGGTTTTGTATGGCTCATAAGCTAAGAATGGCTTTTTTTTTTTTAATGTGTTAAATATAGTATCTTATGACATTTCTGTGTCCATAAATAAAGTTTTATTGGAACACAGTCATGCTCTTTGTTTATGTATTTATTGTCCGTGGCTGCTTTGTGCTACAATGGCAGAGTTGAGAAGTTGTGACAGCAACCACATGACTTGCAAAGCCAATATTACTTACTGTCTGGTCCTTTACAGGAAAAGGTTTGTTGACCCCTACTCTAGGAGTTTCTTTAACATGGCTTTCAAAGTCCTGTGTCAGCTTTCCATATCTTTCTGTAAGAGCCCCTTTGCTCTGACCTTGCACATGTACCATGTAAATTCTTGTAATGTTTATTTTCCCTCTCATCTCTCATGTCTTCTTCCCACCCTACCAGTTCCTTCTATACATTGCCCAAGGCTCAGTTAGAGAGTTCCCTTCCTTTTTTTTTTTTTTTAAAGATTTTATTATTTATTCATGAGAGACACAGAGAGAGAGAGAGAGAGAGAGAGAGAGAGAGGCAGAAACACAGGCAGAGCGAGAAGCAGGCTCCATGCAGGGAGCCCGACACAGGACTTGGACTCCATCCCAGGTCTCCAGGATCAGGCCCTGGGCTAAAGCGGCGTTAAACCGCTGAGCACCCCGGGCTGCCCCAAGATTTTTCTTCTGTAAGACTTTTTTCTCATATGACTTCATTCTGTTAATGTTTCCATTATTTTGAACTAACTCCAAGAATTTTTGTGCACCGTATTTTTTAGGCACTTGTGTATATGTATTTTGCTTTGTTCTTTAAACATTCCATTCTCACATACACTGTAAGCACCTTGCATGTAGGGCTTTGTCTTTCCTTCATTTGAGTACTTGGAGGTGGCAATCCATTTTGGTGACTCATCCTTCGGCATGGCCTTGCATGCAGAGAATTTTTAGAAACTTTTAACTTTTCTTTTCTCTAATGGGGATATATATAACTATTGAAATTTGTATTTTGTTTTGCTTTTAATCTAACTTATCTAGCATTTAAGTTGTTATCTGGATTCCTTTATTATCTGTTGACTCTTATTTCTTTCTTTGTCCTTTCATTTCAGTGTCTTAAGTGAGCTTAAGCAGATACAGGAGCCAGGGAAATTAAGTCAGCAGGACTGTCCACAGAAACCAAATAAGAGTTATTTGAATACCCATTGTGCTATACTGCACTATACCAGGTTTATATAGAGGCTACTTTAAAAACAACCACCTGGGGGATCTCAAATCATGATTTTTTGGCTCAGCTGTTTAGTGCTGCCTTCCGCCCAGGTCATGATCCTGGAGACCCTGGATCGAGTTCCGCATGGAGTTCCGCATCGGGCTCCTTACATGGAGCCTGCCTCTCCCTCTGCCTGTGTCTCTGCCTCTCTCTCTCTGGGTCTCTCATGAATAAATAAATAAATCTTAAAAAAAAAAAAAAGAACTTGAGGAACACAATTATAGAGATGGTAGAATCAAGATTTGGGGAGGGAGAGGGGCAGAGGGAGAGGGAGAGAGAATCTTTTTTATTTTTTTAAATTTTTTTTTTAATTTTTATTTATTTATGATAGTCACAGAGAGAGAGAGAGAGGCAGAGACACAGGCAGAGGGAGAAGCAGGCTCCATGCACCGGGAGCCCAATGTGGGATTCGATCCCGGGTCTCCAGGATCGCGCCCTGGGCCAAAGGCAGGCGCCAAACCGCTGCGCCACCCAGGGATCCCAGGGAGAAAGAATCTTAAGCAGGCTCCACACCCAGCACAGAGCTGATTGTGGGGCTCAGTCTCACAACCCTGAGATCAGTACCTGAGCTGAAATCAAGAGGCAGATGCTTAACTGACTGGGCCATTTAAGCATCTCAAATCATGATTCTTTTATTTCAACACAAATATGAAAATATATTTATCATTAAAAGCTGGCAGAGTTGTATATTATCCCTAGTCTAAAGCCAGCTCATGAAATACATAAATTGCAAATACTCTGTTTTCTCAATTAACTTTCTTATGTACATCATAGAAGCTTTTGTATCTGTACATGCATCTCTGTAGACTTGATTTTATTATTGTAGAAATTTGTTATTAGGTTTAGGGGGAAAGGGCAGCCCCGGTGGCCCAGCAGTTTAGCCTTCAGCCCAGGGTGTGGTCCTGGGGACCCAGGATCAAGTCCCATGTCAGGATCCCTGCATGGAGCCTGCTTCTCCCTCTGCCTGTGTCTCTGCCTCTCTCTGTGTGTGTGTCTCTCATGAATAAATAAATAAAATCTTAAAAAAGAAAAAAAAAGATTTAGGGGGAAATCCCCCAAGTTCAAGCCATTGCATTTTTTTTCAAGACTGGGGAGTCAGGATGGGGATCCAGAATAGGAACACAAAATATTTCAGGAATAATCGTAATATCATCCAGCTGCTATTTGTGGAGCACTGACTGTATGCCAGTACTTCATAGATGCCTTATATACATTATATATAATCATCATGAAACCACTCCAAGAACGCAGAAATGAGAGCACTGAGGCTCAGAAAAGGGAATAATTTTTTCAAGTTCACACAGCTGTTAAGTCGTGCATCAGGATAAGAAATATATATATATATATATATATATATATATATATATATATATATTTGTTTGTTTGTTTATTTATTTATTTATTACTTCCAGTTCAGTGATAAGTTGGAAAGATGACCTTGGAAAGACCATTCAAGGGGGAGGGAAGGGCTTGAGGCAGGCACAGCACTGGCAACGGTAAAGAGGCCTCTTGCAAGAAAGTGGGGCAAGAACGTAGCCGTTGTCAGTTTGGTACCAGAAGGGGTACCCACCCAGTGTGCCGATCTGATGCACCTTAGCTTCTGATTTTACAAATTCTGAACCCAACTGGCAGCCATGTATATATTATCTTCTACATAACTGTCTTTTTCTCTCCTCAGCCATGTTTCCAATTAAACTACTTGGTTAAAAACCCTGCAAGAACAGTGAGGGCCCTTAGTTTGAAGGGAAAGGCTATATAAATGATTCATCCATAAATTGACCCAGGAGTTGCCTAATGCTTTCCTCTAACCTTTAGTTTTAGGTTAAGCTGTGTCTTCCATTGACTCCAATAACAGAGAAGCTGCAAATGCATTTGAGGGGAGTTCTTACAAGTGAATATCTGGCACGAAAACTTTGTTTTGTTTTGTTTGGGTTTTTTTTTAATGTTTTTTATTTTTTTAATTTTTTTTTTTGTTTGGGGTTTTTTGATATAAGAGGCAGAAAGAGCAAATCAAAGGCCATTCCTTAATAACCAAATGTAATTAAAATACATTGTCAGATTTAGGTTTTTGTACCTCAGAGGCATCAATATTATCGGTTTCTGAAATGACATTACTGATTTTAAAAAAAAGCCCCCAGATCTCAATCTATCTATATAGAAAATTCTCATACCCACCTCCTCTTTTCTTTTCTTTTTTTTAAGATTTTATTTATTCATGAGAGACACAGAGAGAGAGAGGCAGAGACATAGGCAGAGGGAGAAGCAGGCTTCCTGTGAGGAGCCTAATGTGGGACTTGATCCTAGGACTCCAGGATCACGCCCTGGGCCAAAGGCAGACACTCAACCACTGAGCCACCAGGTGTTCTTATTTTTTTATTTTTTTTATTATTTTATTTATTATAGTCACACACACAGAGAGAGAGAGAGAGAGAGAGAGAGAGAGAGAGAGAGAGGCAGAGACATAGGCAGAGGGAGAAGCAGGCTCCATGCACCAGGAGCCCGACGTGGGATTCGATCCCGGGTCTCCAGGATCGCACCCTGGGCCAAAGGCAGGCGCTAAACCGCTGCGCCACCCAGGGATCCCTTTTTTATTGTTGTTGTTGTGATGTTATGATATAATTTACAGGGTAAGATGGAAATGTATCTCTTGTGGAAATTGTAAACATACTTAAGATTCTGTCGCTTAGGGAGCTTCAGTCAGAAGGCTTCTTTTTTCTCTAATCAAGTATTTAGCAAAGACAATATGAAGTTCCTTGGACTGTTCTCTGTGGTACAATCCAACCCTCCCATGCCTTTTTTCTTTTTCTCCTAGAGTGATTTAGTTGCTTACCTATGATGATTCAAAAGCAAGGCAGTTTGGTTTGTCATCGATATTCTGGTTTCCTCTTTAATAGGGCTGGTTATGTGGGCAAAGTGGCAGCACTGAGCTATTTAGACATGCCTGTTGAGCTTTGTCCTTCCCTCAAGGAGCTTGAGGAGTGGAGATGAGGGGCCCCAGAGGTGATTTCTCGGGGTTACCGGCTGTAGGATTTAGAACAGCTGAATTCCTTTTCCCAGGCTGGCGGCCCAGATGCCCAGCTGTGAGAGCCAGGGGGCTGTGCAGCCCTGGGTCACTGCAACTTGATTCTGTGACCCAGCTTTCCCTATCCTTTCCCTGCCCCATCCCCAAAGTGTCAGTGATATGATAGTGTGATATTGGTGACATGTTGAGGGCAGCAGTAATGGACATGTTCCTTACCTAGGATTCTTACTCTGAATGCATCTGTAAGAAAATTATAGAGAGGATAGAATCGTGATTCTTTATGTCAACACAAAGTGGTATCAGTTAAAAAAAATAAACACTAGATTGAAAGTAGCAATAACTGGATTCCGCTGTCTCCCTCTGACCTTGAAAAAGATCTATAACTCGTCTGCATTTCTCTTCAGCGGACCTGGGGTAATATGTGTTTCCTAGAGCTTCTGTGTGGTTGAGATAACCTGCGGGAAGTGTTCTGAACTCCTTAAGGAATGATGTCAAGGAGACAAAAGGCAATGACTGTTATTACGGCAAAGATAGTGAGGAGGCAAAGACAGATTTGCATTTTTCTTCCTTAATCTTCTCATCTTTTCAGATGTGTGTGGGTCCTTTTGAGTCCCCCTCTGTTCCTCAGTTTGGAGTGGCAGGGGGTTCCATGCTTGTGTGCAGGAGGAATACCTTCTACTCCCTGCAACTGTGTTCATCAGGAAGGCCTGTGTCAGCACCACCCTTTGGGTCAGCGGTGAGTGGGACACCCAGTGTGCTGTGCTAGGAGAGCACAGGATCTGCACATAGAAGGCATCTCTCCTCTGCAGGCTGAGCACTGGCAGCCATGGACTGCATGCTCCTTCACAGCTTGCCTACGCCTCCTCCGCAGAGCCCACTGCCTGGTACCCAGGCTTCTCTGGTCACCCTCCATGAAAAAGGAAAGTAAATCCAAAGAGGCCAGTGCTTCCTACGCGCCTCGAGTCCGGCTGACCGGGGACACCTTTTGGAGCAGTCCAGCTGTGAGCACAGTAGTCCCCGCTGCCATCAGCCATGTCCTTCAGTGCCACCATCCTCTTTTCCCCTCCTGGTGGCAGCGAGGCCAGATGCTGCTGCTGTGCCTGTAAGAGCGAGACCGGAGCGAGCAGCACAGGCTCCCAGGGCGGGAACCCTCCTGCCAGCACCCCTATCACGGTGACGGGACACGGCCTGGCAGTTCAGAGTCCAGAGCAGCTCCTGCATATTATCTACCAGCGGGTGGAGAAGGCAGTGGGCCTGGCTGAGGCCGCTCTGGGGCTCGCCAGGGCCAACAACGAATTGCTAAAACGTCTCCAGGAGGAGGTGGGTGAGCTGAAGCAAGGGAAAGCCTCAGGCCCTGATGAAGATGAGGTCAGCCGGGCGCACGGCTCCCCGCCGGAGGAGCCGGGGCCTCTCAAGGAGAGCCCCGGGGAAGCCTGCAAGGCCTCAGCGGCCACGGGTGCAGAAGAAGATTGTGACAGCGTGGGCAGCGGCATGCAGGTGGTGATTGAGGAGCTGTGGCAGGTGGGAGCCACCACGGCCGGGGGGCCCGGGCCCTTAGGCTTCCCAGCCGTCCAGAGAGACATGCGGCTCCCTGGGTGTGCCCTGGGTGCCAGCGAGGCGGCCCCAATGCTCAATCCCGTGAGTATGGCCCCAGAGCAGACCGCGGGTGTCGTGAGTGTTGCGTGGTTGCTCCTGAGGGCTTCTCCCAGCCTGGTCCTCTCTTCCTCCTCCCTCCCTCAGGTTTCTTTCCAGCCGGCAGCCTTTCTTCAGGTTTCACTTGGGCTGAAACAGGACAGCACCAACTTTCCTTTGCTGGCAGGGCTAGTTGTCACTCCTCCACTGTCTTCTGCATCGCAGCCTCTTGGGCAGGGAGGTCGTTTCTGGTGGGTGTGGTGGCCGCTGTGCCTGTCCCTGCCTCTCTGTAGCTCTGCAGTGCTACCTTCCCCTCCACGGCTGGCTTGGCTGCTCCCGGGGCTCTGCGGCTCCTGGCCAGGCGGCCTGCCGTGCACAGACGGCTCATTCATATTTTATCATGGGCCCTCTGCTTGCCAAGAGGAATTCAGTACCGAGAGAGAGGGGGGAATATAGAGGGGAGAAAGGGAGAGCTGGAGAGGGAGAAGGACAGAGAGGGAGGAAAGAGAAGGAAGGAGAGAGGCAGAGGACAAAGAGAACAGAAAGACAGGTGTAGGGAGGGAAGGCAGCAGGTGGAGATGAAGGGTGGAGGAAGGAGAAAAAAGTGGAAAAAGGGTGTCGAGGAAAGGTGAAGCTGTTTTTTTTTTTTTTTTTAAGATTTTATTTATTTATTAATGAAAGACACAGAGACAGAGAGGCAGAGACACAGGCAGAGGGAGAAGCAGGCTCCATGCAGGGAGCCTGACGTGGGACTTGATCCCGCGGTCTCCAGGACCACACCCTGGGCTGAAGGCGGCGCTAAACCGCTGAGCCACCTGGGCTGCCCTTTTTTTTTTTTTTTTTTTAAGATTTTATTTATTTATCTGACACACAGAGAGCACAGGAGGGAGAATGGCAGGCACAGGGAGAGGGAGAAGCAGGCTCCCCACAGAGCAGGGAGGGCGATGTGATGAGGGGCTGGATCCCAGGATCCTGGGATCGTGACCTGAGCTAAAGGCAGATACTTAACCAACTGAGCCACCCAGGTGCTCTGGAAAGGTGACTCTAAAGGGAAAGAGTATTATGCGCTCAAGGGCACATAAGGAAAGGTGGGAAGGAGGTAGAGGGAAGGGAATAATATGAGGACAAGAAGTGGCCAGCCAACAGTTCCTGGGAAGAGGGTGACAGGGAGGAGTGGGGAAGCAAGAAGCAAGCACGCATATTTTGTGAGCAGGAAAAGACACAGAAGTACCCTGTGCTATTTCAGTTTCTTTACTGCTCAGGGCCCTCTGAGCAGGAAAACCCTCGCTGAGTAGAGTAAAAACTGCAGAGCGTGGCACATGGAAGTACGAAAAGGAGCCAGAGCAACTAGGGAGATCAGAGGCATGGGAAAGTAACAGATGTGTCACCACTTGAGAGACAGTGGGAGGTCTGTTGGCTCTCGTCCCCTGTGCTCCCCCGCTGCCCTCTCCTTCCTCTTTCCGCAGCAGCCAGCACAACAAGGCCCAGACACCCAGGAAAGAGAAAAGGAGCAGAACGCACAGGGGAGATGGGAGAGAGGAAACTCCCAGCCCACCTGCTAGATCTGAGAAATGAATGTGAAGCTCCCCATGCTCCTCCAGTGTCACAGTGCAGCTGGTCACTGCTCCCTGAAGGCCTAAGGCCTAGCCATGTGGTGGGTGGTGGCCACTGCCCCTTGCCCCACCATGCCCAGCCAGGACTCTCTGGGGGGGGGTGCTGCAGAGAGGTGGGAGGAGGCAGGGGGTAGCAGGTAGCAGGTAGCAGGCCAGGCGATGTCCTGAGCGTTGCTTCTGTCAGGCAAGGAAGGAAGACTTCCAAGCCGACAGGATAGAATTAGATTTCACAGTGTAGAAAGCAGCTCACAGGTCTATAAATCTCAACCTCCTCCCCTGCTTCTTTCTGTGTCTTCCCCCCCCACTTTCATTGTTTTGTTTTCTTGGCTTCAGAAATCCCCCCTCCTTTCTTCCCTCTCTCTCCTTCCTCCCTCCTTCCTTTCCCTGCCCTGTATGTCCTTGAATGAGGGCACAGGCAGCAAGTAGATGTCAGGACAGTGACAGTCGGATGCAGCCAGGGCAGGATGAAGGTGAGGACACGGACAGGTCCTGCAAGGGGAATGGGGTGGGGTGGGGGGCAGCTGGTGCCAGCCTCTCTAGAAATTTCTGATTTTATGTCTCTCTTCTTTCCTCCCGTTTTTCTCCTGTTTCTCCTATTTGTTGTTATCACTTTATTTTCTTGTTCCTACTCTTGCTTGGTGTTCCTTTCTTGTCATCACTTCCTCCCTCAGTCCCTTTTAGACAAAACACTTGCCTGGCTATGATTCTTATACCCAAGAGCAAATCACAGATGATTCCTCGCAAATGGAGTGTCAGAAACAAGCCTTGTCCTTGTAATCAGTCGTACAGTAACAATTCAACACGAGAGGCCCTGTATATCCAAGAATTATTTGCCAACACTCCCGTAAGAGTCCCAGAGAAACAAGCTCCTGGCCATTGGAGACTGTGCTGGATTCCCCCGGCTTTCCACTCTCTGTTCACTATCTTTGGCCAGAGAATGATGGTTGACCAGGTTCCCCTAAGCCTGGATGGCTAATAGGCTATTCTTTTTTATGTTCTTAGCTGGTGGATGATTATGTGGCCTCTGAGGGTGCAGTGCAGCGGGTGCTGGTCCCTGCTTATGCCAAGCAGCTCTCACCAGCCACACAACTGGCTATCCAGCGGGCAACCTCAGAGACAGGGCCAGAAAATGGAAGCAAGCTGCCACCACCCCGCCCCGAGGACATGCTCAGTGCTGCTGCTGCCCTGGATGGTGCCTTGGAAGAGTCAGGCCCTGGGGGAACGGGGGAGCTGAGACACTCTCTAGGGTTTACTGCTTCCCCGTGCAGGACCAGAGGGAGTGGGCAGAAGAACTCCAGGCGCAAGCGGGATCTGGTACTCTCCGTGAGTGAGCTCAATTCTATGCATTTTTCTTCAGTCTGGAGAGAGAAGTGAAGAATGAAATGTGGGTTGACTTTATTTCCATTGAATGAATGGTATCCTGAATCCCTACTGCAGTGGGAGGGGCGAGGAGGAGACAGCTTGGCCCAAAGCCCTGGGGGATACGAAGACCTCCTGCTAATCAGGGAACATTTTTAAGCTTTTCCAGATAGATTGAAATCTTCTGTTCAAAGAGAAGGGAATTGTGTCACATCTCCTCCCCGTGATCTAGTAATCCTGCTGGGAAGATATTTAAGGGATTGAGCAGACTGACCACTGAAGGGTAGCACTGGAAACGGCCAGCAAGTTGCCAGTTTTCAGGGCAAGCAGCGAGGAGCCCCTTGGCAGAAAGGCCAACGTGTGCCGAGGTGGCACCAAGCCCCAAAGGAGCGGAGGGTCCCTAGACACTCAGCTCAGTCACAAGGTTTGGTGAGTAGGGATTCTAAGAGCTCTTGGCAGGGCAGGTACTGGGCTGCCTCAGGAGCATCACTAAACATCTTCCAGTGCACAGGGGAGCCGCCCACAATTATTCGACCTAAAACGTCTATAGCGCCAGGATTGAGAAACCTTGCTCTAGGGTGACCAAAATCCTCTGAATCACCTCTGTGCCCCCAAAACATCTTTCTGATAACCACAGGGGTGTTCTTTAGCTAGATCCTGATCATATATGGACTGTAAGGCGTTTCCCTCTCTGGCTCATGGCTGATAGAGTCACCGGAGAGTTCTGGATAGGAGAACTCACCATTCACACCCACCGGAAATGAAATCTGGTCATAGTCTAGCCCTTTTCTTCTTGTCATAGTCTTAGTAAAGATTGAAGACAGCCAGTTACCATGCATACCTCCATAATCTTTACTGAAGCTTCTTCTTTTATTATTCTTGCTTCCTTTTCCCTTTTCTAAGGACTCCTGACTCTTACCTTCCCTTTCATTTGATTTGTTTTTACATTGAGGGGTTCTTTCCATCCCTGGGAAGGAAGACACCATTCATAATCAAAATCAACTGGGGCGGTTTCTAACCTTCAATTTAAATGTTGGCTATGAAAAATAAATAAATAAATAAATAAATAAATAAATAAATAAATAAATAAATGTTGGCTATGAAAGAAAAAAAATGTTAGCTATGTTCAAGGATAGCTTACTTATCAAGAATAGGGAATAGGTTTCGTTTTTCTGTCACAGACTTCTGGCCTAAGAGGGCCACTCTTGCTGCCAGTGATAGAAATGGAGGCATATACCCAGAAATGCATTTCGAGGGATTTCCCAAAACTTCATAGTTTTAAAATCATGAATAAACATGTGAGAATCACAACTGGCATAAAACAGGACTTCTTTTTTCATCACTTCCATTTTTCTTTTTCTTTTCCTTTTATTTTTTTTACCACTCCCATTTTTCTGCCTCCATCCTCTGGGGAGAGGTCTGGGGTTGAGGCCTGGCTGCTGCCGGCCCTTTGAAGAGCCCAGTGGAATGATGACTATACAGGAGGACAGTGTGCTCACCCCTGGTGCACTGTTACAGTACTTGAAAGGCTCTGGAGGACCAGTCAGGGAATCTTACCGCCTAGTCGCAGAGGAAAGTTTCAGATGTTTCTGTGCCAGACTGTGGTTTCGAGGGACAGGGATAGTTTCAGGCCTTCCGTCTTCCAGCCTCTAGCTCTAGGAAGGAAGCAGAGGGGCAGCCCTCTAATCTGCTCCGGCCACTGTGGATTGCTGCTAGGGATCCATCCAAAGGACCAAACGGGAACCACTGACTTCTTGGAATGAGGCAGATCCCAGCCACTCCTTGGGGAAATGTATTTATTTTTAGCTCACTCAGAAGGTAGGTGAGCCAGTGGCCTTTATAGTCTTAACACTTATTATTGTCTTAGAGTATTTTCCCTTTCCACTTCAAGCCTGGTATGATTTTTATCAGCTGATCTCTTCCAGGCCACTTGAATTGGAAGCTGTGCAACTCCTTTTTTTTTCTTTTTCTTTTCTTTCCTTTTTTGCAACACTTTCAAATTCTTTCTGAGGCATTCACCCATCTCTTGTGATTCCTTAAGTTGGGACTTACAAGAGATAAAATAACAGGCCTTTTTATAGAGTGGAGACCCTCACCATAAAAAGTTGACAGTAGTTTCCTTATCTGGTATGGTCAGTCAGTCCTAGAGGCAAAAGATTTCTTTCTAAATTGGGGATTTCTCAACTGAAGCTGAAGTCCTGAGATCAGGATATGAGTCCATCGGTTTGGGACTGGGAATTTCCACTGACCGAGGGAGCTTGGGATGAAAATACAATCAGAAACACCAAAATTTAATCAGAGGAAATGTAAAATCTTGCAGCAAAGTTTAAAAAAATGAAACAGGTACAGAATGGCAAAGATAGGAATCCATGTGCAAAATGGACTTGAGTTGACTATAAGCTCAATAGGAATAAACCCTGTGACACTGGGAATAGGGATAGGGTTGCTAAGAAGGTAATACTTCTTGGGTTTCATTCCTAGAAGTGTAGAGTGCCACTCCAGGAAGTAATGCTCCCTTTGGCCGGGTCTCCAGCGATGCATTAAATTCAGTTCCCACTGCCACGGTGTCCAAGGGACACTGGCAAGCCAGAGAGAACCTGATGGTTTCACAACGAGTCTGTCTGGAAACTGTCCTAAGGAATGGCTGAAGCATTTGGGGATATTTAGACCTGATAGAAGACTCAGGGAGTACGTTAGACATGTCTTCAAAGATTTTAGGTGCTGTCAGGGGCAAAACTGGTCAGATATTGGAGTCTAAGACAGGAACTTTTTAACAATCAGAGATGTTCAACAATAAAATAAGCTGACTCAAAAGACTAGTGAGAACCCGTTCTTAAAAGTATATAAACAAAGCTGAGAGCCTGTTTAATGATGTGAAAGGGAGGTTGGGTGATAGCATTTCCAAGGTCCTTTGCATTTCACATTTCTGTTATTTTAGGTTTTTGTTTTTCAGACCATGATGTGTGTACCCCTGAGATTTGTGGAAATGTGCAAAGGGATATACCTAGGGTATTTTCCTGGGTCATCAGTTTTACTAGAAGATTAAGAAGACATTTTTAGATGAAAAGAAATAGATATATTGAAAATAAAATGTTAAAATTTCCAAAAGTAGGGGGCCTCAAGAAATGTCCACTTGCAGTAGTCCTGGTGTATATTTGCTCTCTCCTGGCTACTAGGAAGGAGTATGTTTGTCAAAATATCTATGACCTTTGGCTCTAGTGACCATATTCCACAGGAACAGAAGTTAAGACCAGGGATGATCCTGGAGTCTCCATACAGATTATTTGAAAAGGACCACAAAAAGAAGGACACTCCAAATACTGAGTTCGTTGGGCTCTCTGACTATGAAATGGCATCTACAGAAATGGTGCCGAGACTATAGGAAGGATTTGGGCAGAGAACCCCGTAGGGACAAGGCCTAGGGAACAGAGGAGGCTTTCATCATATCCACTCCCGGCTTGAATCTGTATTTGTTTTTTTCCCCTAGAAATTGGTCCACAATGTGCATAACCACATCACCAACGACAAGAGATTCAATGGGTCTGAAAGGTATGATCCTTTTGAGGAAAAAGCATCCCAAGGTACTCTGCCAAGGAGAGGGAAGTAGAGGGCTGCTCCACTGTAACAATGAGGCTAAGGCTTTCACCTCACCATTGCCCCTTGCTTGTCCTTGGCTGAGGAGGAGTTTACCACAAAGTTGTTTCATGCCAAGAATCTCTGTCTGGCTTTTAAAATGCTGACTGCTTTGTTCATGATCTTCCTTATGGCAGCATCAAGTCCTCTTGGAATATTTCAGTAGTGAAGTTCCTTCTGGAAAAGCTCAAGCAAGAGCTGGTGACCAGTCCCCACAATTACACGGATAAGGAGCTGAAAGGTGAGAAAAACTGACCTAACTCCTATCTCATCTTTTTTCCACTCACTGTTCCTGGTCAGAGAAGAGGCATAATGGAGATGATTTAGGTGGTTTTGAAAACAGTGAACTTAAAAAAATTTTTTGGCTGTTCTCACATTTTCTTCACAGGATTGTTTCCTTTTCTTCTATTATTTATTTGTGTTTGTTTATTTGAGAGAGAGAGAGAGAGATTGAGCAGGGTGGGGTGGGAGGGAGAGAATCTCAAGCAGACTCCCCACTGAGCATGGAGCTGACTTGGGACTCTATCCCAAGACCCTGAGATCATGACCTGAGCCAAAACCAAGAGTCACTCAACCAACTGAGCCACCCAGGCGCCCCAGGATTGTTTCTAATTGCCTTTTTATTCCCCCATCCCGCTTGAAATGAAAATGGGAGAAGGAGGGGATCCCTGGGTGGCTCAGCAGTTTAGTGCCTGCCTTTGGCCCAGGGCGCGATCCTGGAGTCCCAGGATCAAGTCCCTCGTCGGGCTCCCGGCATGGAGCCTGCTTCTCCTTCCTCCTGTGTCTCTGCCTCTCTTTCTCTCTCTCTCTCTGTCTATCATAAATAAATAAATAAATCTTAAAAAAAAAAAAAAAAGAAAGAAAGAAAAGAAAATGGGAGAAGGAAAGAGCTAACAGCAGCAGGCATGATGTTTCTGCAGTGCCTGAATCTAGGGTGTTATGAAAGGAAGTCAGAATCCAGGCCTGCCCTTTTGTCCCTAAATATTACATCCTGGGTTTTCTACTTTCTTTTCTGTTATTTGCCCATAGCTAACCCTAAAGCATTAAGAAAGCTGCTGTAAAAGCACTTGTAATCCACTACCAGCAGAGTAGAATGGGAGTGGGTGAAATTGAGCCCCGGGTCGGGGGAGGGAGCTACAGAAGCTTGGCCTTGTTGTGTGCCAGTGGGAGATACTAGAGAGGAATCAGTGCTGGACAGGGAGGTGAGCAGAGAGAACCAAACCAGAGAGGAAATAGATACTGATGGGTCTGGTCTGTGAGAAAGCCCCCCCCCCCCCCCCCCCCAGTCTAGAGTGATTCTCACCTTCACAGCCAGTAGTGTTAGGGCAGAAAAAAAGATCTACTCTCTGGCCCCACCCTTCTCCCTCCCCACCAGGAGCCTGTGTAGCCTACTTCCTTACTAAGAGGCGTGAGTACCGCAACTCCCTGAACCCCTTTAAAGGCCTGAAGGAAAAAGAGGAGAAGAAGCTTCGAAGTCGCAGATACCGGGTAGGTTTCTAGGCCTTCCTTTCAAGATGCTAAACACTAAACCCTGCTAAGCTGCAGTGGGAAGGGGCAGAGCACGTGGCATCTGAGAATAGGGTTGAGAGCCAGGAATGTTAGCAGATAGAGGGGAGGGGGGGAAGCAGGTTCTAAGATGAGTTTGGGGGCTAGGTTCTCTCAGATACAGATCCTACAGGAGCCCTCTCCCTAAATCTAACCCATATTTTGTTTCTCTTCCTGATCTCTGCCTTGGGCTCCTACCTTAGCTTTTTGCCAATCGATCCAGCATCATGAGGCATTTTGGACCTGAGGACCAACGCCTATGGAAGGATGTGACCGAAGAGCTGATGTCAGATGAAGAGGACAGCCTTAATGAGCCAGGTGTCTGGGTGGCCCGGCCTCCCCGGTTCCGGGCCCAGCGTCTCACAGAGCTCTGCTACCACCTGGATGCCAACTCTAAGCATGGCACTAAAGCCAACCGTGTGTATGGGCCTCCCTCAGACAGACTACCTTCTGCTGAGGCCCAGCTCCTTCCACCAGAACTTTATAATCCTAATTTCCAAGAAGAGGAAGATGAAGGAGGTGATGAGAATGGACCTGTCTCTCCATCTTTTGACCAACCCCACAAAACCTGCTGTCCTGACTTGAACTCGTTCATTGAAATCAAGGTGGAAAAGGATGAATGAAATCTATTACCAAGAATAACTGGCTTCTGCCAGTCCCCATGTCCCCAAAATGGGTGGCTATGGGGCTCCCAGAATAACAAGATGTTCTCTGCAGTCTGAGAAAGCAAATCTGTCTCTCTTCTTAACAGTGCCCAATGGAAATGGAAGCTGGCAGCTGTGGTGGCATAAAAACACTTACCTAGAAAGGGGACCTCCCCCCTTCTCTGTGAATGGCAAGCCAGAAAGTGCTTATTTTTAAGTATACATAGTGCCTCCCCTCAGGGAGCCTGGTCTGAGAAAGGGAGGAGGTTGGGTCTAAGAAACATGAGGCCTTCTTGACATATACCCCAGTCTCTGAGTTGGTTTCTTTTTTTCCTGGTCTCACTCAAAGCTCTGGGGAAGCAGCCCTGATTGTACCTTCTGCTTCCCCCTGACTGCTGGTCTGGCTCTGCAGTGGAAGCAGCGCAGGGCCAGTCCAGGATCATACTGCCACCTGGTGGGCAGTTTTGGTCATGGGCTTGATTCCTCTGAGCAGAACACCGCTCCATTCCTATTTGGGAACTGGGATACAGATATAATAGCTATTGTTTATTGAATTATGTAAGGCAGATTTTATTATTAGTCCCATCTTACACATGAAGAAATTAAAGCTTAAAGAGTTCCCAAGTCTCACTGGCAGCTGCTCTCCCACTGTGTGACCCAGCAGTATATGGGCTTTGTAGCTATTTCGTAGTCCCAACAGCCAAACTGTATTTTGAGGAAAGGGTGTGTGTGCATGTGCGTGCGCGCACACTCACGCACATGCATCCACACACATTCGCCCACAAACTTTGTGCCTGACAAGTGGATTGTGAAGTAAAAAATGGCTTTCTGTTCAGTCAGTCATACAACAAATACCGATAACTTACTAGGTGTCAGGTACTGTGTTAGGTGCTGTGGGTACATTTTTGATCGAGTTAGATGCTGATTAGAGGTTTTATGATCTAATCAGGAACCCAGGCAGTTAAGTAAACAGTGAAATGAACTGTGATAAGGGTGATGATGGTGGGGGGGGGGGTGGCAGTGTCAGGTGCAGCAGCAGCAGACAGCAGGGGTGGCTGTCCTATTCCGGGGGTCTGGAAAGGCTTCTCAGAGAGTGGTGTTTAAATTGGTACCTGAAAGATGGGAGGAGTTAACCAGAAGGGAAGGGGAAGCTTCAAGTGCTCCAAACCAGGGATGGGCAAAGACAAAAACCCAGAGGCAAGAGAGCACAGAGGAGTTGCCATCCCCTTGCAGAATGGTTTGAGGGGATGGTGCAGAGAGAAGCTGGAGAAACAGAGACCTCACCAAGTATTTTAAAGAATGTAGACTTTAGTTCAAAGGCAGCAAAAAATCAAAGGGAAATGAGATGATGGGTTTTGTGTTTGAGAAGAACCTCTTGCCCTCTGTATGAGATGGATGGCAGGAGGAACTTTTGCAGTGGCTCAGGAGAGAAGTGATGGTGGCCAGACAGAAACAATCATGAGAGGAGGACAGATTTGGAAGATATTTAGGAAGCCAAACTGATTGGACTTTGTGATCGACAGGGCTTAGTGACAGGACCTCATGGTTGGACATGAGGTGGAGAGATCGCAGAAGGTTGATGTTCAGATTTCTGGCTTAAGCAGCTAAGTGGTTAATGGCGCCGTTTCCCAGGGGACTCCAGAGGAGCCAGTTTCTGGAGGCAGGGGAGGTGAAGTCGATGGAGGGTGTTGTATGCCTTTGAGACAACCAAGGGGAGATGCTGGTAGTCAGCTGAGTTTTTAAGTCTAAGAAAGTCTGGTCTAGGGGCTCCTGGCTGGCTTAGTCAGTGGAGCATGCGACTCTTGATCTCAGGATCATGAGTTCAAGCCCCACGTTGGCCATAAAGAGCTTACTTTTAAAAAGAAAAAATGTCTGGGCTACAGGTATGGCTTTGGGAGCCATCTGTGTACATAGTTCGTAATTAAAAGTCTTGAAGAGGGAGAACAGGGCCTGTGGAGCACTCGATTCCAGTTCAGACTATGGAACAGTTACCCCGAGGTCATGAGCACGATCGGAGCCTGCCTTCAGTGCATCCCTGCCTTCACTTATCTCTCGTCCTTGTTAAGCCCTGAAAATACAGGTTATTGATCCCAACTGTGCCCATTGCTGCCACCACTAACTCCCACATGGACCTCCTTTTAAAGGCTTCTCAACTTCTCATTAGATTCACTCTCCCATCCTCACTCTAAAGTGGGAAAGCTTCCAAATATAAGAGGCTCGGTGGATATTTTGGCTGTAACTAGTTGGAAGGAAGAATCCAGGTTCTCCTTCCCCATCTGGAGACAGGAAAGGAGGGAGAGCCTTATGGTTAATTCTGAAGATGTCGCTCACAGCAGGTTCTGGATGCAACCTGATAGCTCCCCTCTGTTACTAATGCTTTCAGTGTTCCCTGCTTCTAGTCTGATAGTGAACTCTACTCTGGATCAGAGAAAAGCTGTAGGCCTGACAGGGAAAAAGAGAGGCTGATTCTCGGGAGAGATGAGGTCAGGGAGACAATGCAGTTAGGACAAAGAAGCCAAATAGTTTGTGCCAAATTAATTTCCCCAAAGATATTAACTTCCTTTGCTTCCCCATTCCCTAAGGCTAAACTAAGATTATGAAAGGTGTTCAAAATGTTGAAATGAAAATAATATGCATGGTTTGTTTGCATATAATTTTCATACTCATTTACTATCTAAATACAAAGGAATCCTTTTCCTTCTCCATTCTACCTCCTCCACCTCTTGGCCCCTGATGTCAGGGCAAAGTCAGTTGTGCTAGTATTTAATTAGGCATGTTCGACTTCAGCCACCGTTTCTTCCTTTCCTTATTGATCTTTCTAGTATGGCCAACACTAGAAGCCTCCTCTTTCCCTTTTCCACCCTGATCATTTTCACTTGCTGGCTCGTCTAAATGACGTTTCTTTTCTTTCTCTTTGATACTCTTCATCACCAATCTCTTACGGGCCCACCAAGCCCCACCAAGCCGGAGGCGCTCGCTAGCTCTACATCCAGGCCTTCCATCTCCATAGTCGCCTGAAATAGTTCCTAAAAAAATCTCGTTTCCCAACACCAGGGGGTGTCTCTATTCCTCTGGCTGTCCTACCCTGAACATAGGGATTAGTCCCAACACTCTTCCTCACTCCTTTTACACATCCACCAAAGCTCTTTTCCTCCCTACCGTCGCAGAGCTTTGGGTTCAGAGAGTGGTGTTTTTATTGCAGTTTATCTGTCGGTCTCTCATTCTGTCTGGACTTTCACAAATTTGCCTTTTTCTTGGTCTGCTCGTCCTTAGGTCTCCGCACCACCCGCGAGCCCTCAGCCCCCCGGCTCCCCCTTCTTTCGCGGTCTTCCACTGCTTCTCGACGCCGGCTTCCTCGCCCTTCTGGGCTCTTCACCTACGCGTCTCTGAACCTCTTTACGCAGCTGCCTTTCTCCCTGGCCCCTCTTTACGGATCTCCCCCTGGCTCACTACTGCTGCGCCAGGCTCCCTCCTCTCTCGCACAGTAGGAACAAAGTCCCGATGCTTGCGCAGAACAAGCCCCACGTCGCCCCGTCCCGGCCTCCACATTCCGCCGTGCCCCTCCGCGCATTCCAACTGCAACAAAGAGTTCCCCTCCCCTCTCCCACTCCCCCCGGTCCCAATTCCTGAGAGACAGAGCAGCAGCCGCCTAAACCGCCCCTCGGCCGCCTCTGGCCTCCCGTCGGCGGGTCTCCGCCTTCAGGACGGCCCCACCAGCACCACCCTCCCCCGCCGGCGTCCCCGAGATCCCTGCGCAGACACCCCCCTTCCTCTCGCCCTCAGCGCTCCACCCCTCCCGGAAAGTAGATCCGGCCAGGCAGACAAAAGTTTGGGAGAGAAGTTCGGTCCGTGTAGAGTGTGAGAGCGAGGGGGGCGGGGGCCGGGCAGAGCGGGGCGGCCGGGCGAGTGGACTCGCGAACAGACAGACCGGCGGACCGGACAGCCGCGGCCGTACGCCCTCCTGGCCCCGCTTAGCTCCTGATGCGCGGGGGGAGGCAGCCCCTCTCGCCGGGGGATGCTGCGGGACTCCCGGCGCCGGGCATCCGGGCCGCCCACTAGACCCTTGTGCCCACCCCGTGCCCCCGGGGAACCGGAGTCCGGCCGCTGGCAAAGAGAAGCGGCCGCCGAGACGCTGCAGGGTGCCGGGCGGGGAGGGGACTGGAGGCCCCTGGCCCGAGGGCATGGAGCGGTTAGGGGAGAAAGCTAGTCGCCTGCTGGAGAAGTTAAGGCTCTCGGACTCCGGCAGCGCCAAGTTCGGCCGCAGAAAGGGTGAATCTAGCCGGTCTGCGTCTGATGGGGCCCCCGGGCCGGGCAAGGGGCGCCTGAGTGGGTTGGGGGGTCCTAGGAAATCAGGGCCCCGTGGGGCTACTGGGGGACCTGGGGATGAGCCGTTGGAGGCAGCCCGGGAGCAGGGCCCCCTGGACGCTGAGCGGAACCCGCGCGGCTCCTTTGAGGCGCAGCGCTACGAAGGCTCCTTTTCCGGGGGGCCGCCTCCCACCCGCGCCTTGCCTCTACCTCAGTCGTTGCCCCCCGACTTTCGGCTGGAGACCACGGCCCCAGCTCTAAGCCCCCGCTCCAGTTTCGCCAGTAGCTCAGCCAGCGACGCCAGCAAGCCGTCCAGCCCGCGGGGCAGCCTGCTGCTGGATGGGGCGGGAGCAGGCGGAGCCGGAGGTAGTCGACCCTGCAGCAATCGCACCAGCGGCATCAGCATGGGCTACGACCAGCGCCACGGCAGCCCCCTGCCCGCCGGGCCATGCCTGTTTGGCCCACCCCTGGCTGGGGCTCCGGCGGGCTATTCCCCTGGAGGGGTGCCGTCCGCCTACCCCGAGCTCCACGCTGCCCTGGACCGACTGTGCGCTCACCGCCCCGCGGGGTTCGGCTGCCAGGAAAGCCGCCACTCCTACCCTCCGGCCCTAGGCAGCCCCGGAGCTCTAGCTGGCGCCGGAGTGGGACCGGCAGGGCCCCTGGAGAGGCGCGGGGCGCAGCCCGGACGACACTCCGTGACCGGCTACGGGGACTGTGCCGCGGGCGCCCGATACCAGGATGAGCTAACAGCGTTGCTGCGCCTGACGGTGGGCACGGGTGGGCGAGACCCCGGCGCCCGCGGGGAGCCCTCGGGGATTGAGCCGTCGGGTCTCGAGGAGCCGCCGGGTGCGTTCGTCGCAGAGGCCGCCCGGGCCCGGATGCGGGAGCCGGAGGCCAGAGAGGACTACTTCGGTGAGTGGGAGAAGTGGTTAGGGACGGACGGGACCCGCCACCGCGTTCGCGCCCCGCCGCCCCGACGGCCCAAATTGCCGGCGCCGGGAAGTCGGAGGCGGAGACGTGGAGCTAGGAAGGAGGCAAGGGGGATTTCCCCTTCCACCAGGTCTCGAGTGGACCCGGGGCTCCTTATTCCGGCTACATTCGACTCCCTGGTTATCTCGTGAGCCCCATTTGAAGCTTCAGAGCCATCGTTTCTCGCGGTAGGGGGCCTCGTAGGGAGGGGACTGGATGGGGAGCAAGAGCATCCCCCGTCCTGCTGCTCCCCCCTTGGCGGCGGTGCCCCTGCAGGCTTCTGCGCGCCGCGCCCCCACCCGGGCCCAAGCTCCGCCCGCAGGAATTCGGGGAATGCGCGGGTGGGGGGCGGGGCGGGCGGGCCGCGTGCGTGCCGGCTCCTGCCCGGGCGCTCCAGGTGCCCGCGGGCGGGGCGGGGGGGGCGGGGGTGGGGGTGGCGGGGTGCTGCTTGCTCACACGCGCCGAGCGGTGGCCGCGGTCGGGGAAATGGAGCCTGGGAAGGAGGGTGCAGCGCCCCGGGACGGAAAGCAGGGACCTGCTGCTGGCTCGTCCCAATCCTGCTGGCGTGCTGCGGGCGTGGGCGTTCACGCCGAGACCTGGTGGTGTCCGCTTCGACTTTCCCCAACCTCCGGAAGTCAGGGCGTTAGCCTTGACCACCCGGACACCAGCATCCCTAGCGGGTGAACGACCCTGTGTAACTGCCAGAAATATCCTGGCCTCCAGTTTGGGCCACAACCTGCATAGAATTCCGGCTGCTGCTGTTAAGGAAACCTAGTCGCTGTTTACCTTTAAGAAGTATTGATTGATGATATGCCTCAACTACCTGAGGATATTGGGATCTTTCAGGATCTTTTTAGCCAGCACCCACAGTCACCGCTTCATTATGTAAAGAAACGCTAATGTGGTGGAAAGAACAGAAATGGAAGGCCCAGGGCCTCTTCTCACTTCTCCCACCACCCATGTTCCTGCCCTGGACCCCATGCTCTACGCCCTCTATGGCTCGAAATGCGGGTAGGGAGAGGAACCCAGCTAAAGAGGGCAGGTTGAGGCGGAGGTTGAGAAGTAGCAGGGCTGCCAGGGACAGGACCCTCCTTGCCCTGTTCAACCGTGTCCTCCCATCCTAAGAGAGGAAAGCCTAGAGTAGGTGATGCTTTGGTCAAGGGAGACTAAGTGACAAGATCCTTTTAGCAGTTTCCTTCTGGGGCCCATGGGAAGTGGCTGTTGAGTGGAAATAAGTCTCTTTGGCCAAGCCATCAGAGTGAAAAGGAAGAAAGGAGCTTGGACAGAATGCAGTATAATTGCAGGAAGAACCTAGGTGTGGATATGCTGGGTTAGAGGAGGCACAGCGGACGTGCCTGAGCAGTTTGTGCCTGTCTTCCCATATTGTCCAAGGCTTCCCAAAGATGGTTCTGACGGGTCTCCCTGGCATGGCAATCTTGGAACAGATGTTCAGTCTTATGGGCATCTTGACCCCAGAGGTAGAGGCCTCTTCTCCCTCAGAGCCAGGTTGCCTCCTCTGACAGAATTCCCAGCCTGACTACCCTCCTACTCTGGCCCCTAGTTAGGGGCCCTCTTCCTTGGCTACAGCCTTGCCCAGCTGCCAGAGGGTGGGAGCAGGACAGGCCTGGGCTCATCAGTCGCTGCTGCAGCTGCTGCACTGGCTCCCAAGCCCCTGGGCAAAGACTGGGATGGGCCCCAACAGGCAGGGAGTATGGCAGTGGGCCGAGGGGGAGAGGTGGGGCGGGGTGAGGCAGGCCCGTTGGGATCTGCTCCCCAAAGACAGGCCCTAGCCCTCACTCATGGGCCTGGAATTGGGGAGTGGAGCGAGGGAAGAGCACACCCAGGAAAGGCGGGTGCCAGAGCCAGGTGTATGTATTTTAGGGGGGGATGTTAGAGAAGAGCAGTTCAGCTCTATCCTTCCCATGATAGATTTCAAGGAGACATTAGGGAGTCTGTCTCCCTTCCCCCTACCTTCCTGTGCCACCTCCAGTCCCTGGAACACACCCTACATTCTTAGCAGCCACCTCCCCACAGGAGTCATGCTCACATGGGCCCGTATGCGCAGGGCCCTCTGCTGAGCCGTATCCTTCTCTCCATCCTAGGAAGCCTGGAGGTGTGGAGCAGTAAGAAGTCATTCTGTAGCTATATAGCAGCTCATTTTACAGATGGAGAAACTGAGGTCCCAAGGATGCTTTCTAAACCTGGCCTGCTTTCTCTAGGAGTCTGCTGCTGAGCCATTAGGAACTGGCATTTTGGACTCTGTCCCACACAGTGCAACAGGGGTCATACCCTTGCCTGTTAGTCTTTTCTCCTTGACAGAAGCTACACATTTGAAGATCAAGAAACATTATCTTTGAATTTCTCCAATATCCCATAGTATTGGGCACCATATTTTTGCTAGGCACAAAATAGATACTCAGAAAATATCTGTTAATTAATCCATAAACAAGGATGGGTCTGCTCAGCCAAGACCTAGCTGCATCCCGTTTCTCATTATCCTCTCTTCTTAGGAGGGAGGCCATCAAAGCCAAGGCTGCAACTGGTGGTCCTCTGGAACAATCAGGAAAGAACAGTCAGGAAAGATCCTGAATCCCTGGCTTTGAGCTAGGGGCGTGGGGCATGATGCTGTCAACCTCTTCTCTCCCCACAGGCACCTGTATCAAGTGCAACAAAGGCATCTATGGGCAGAGCAATGCCTGCCAGGCCCTGGACAGCCTCTACCACACCCAGTGCTTTGTCTGCTGCTCCTGTGGTGAGTGTATCCCCTAGGCCTTGTGCATGGAGCTGAGCTGAGGCCTTGAGCATGCCCCACACGCGTACACACTCAAGTGCCTAGGGAAAGCAGAGCTTGGGCCTCTTCGCTTGTTCTCCGAGCAGCTGAGCAGCTGTCCGGGGCCCCCCCACATGTGTCTAGATATCCACTGCTGCCCCGCCTTCCCTTCTGTGTGCTCTACCTGGCTCTCCAGCCCCCATGTTGGGCCTGCTTTCTGGAGTCACTCCTCCCTTCCTCCATTCAGTCTCTTTCTTCCCCTCTGTCCCTCCCTCTTTCTTCTGCCTCCTTGCTTGCCCAGCCTGGACTCCAGCCCGGCCTCGGCCTCGGCCTCTCCTTGTTGGGGTTTGGTCCTGGGCAGCCTGAGTTGCCTGGGGCGACAGTGAAAGACTGGAATGTGGGAAGGGTGGGGGTGGGCTGGGGGAGTGGGGAGCCATGGGGGGAGGAGAAAGGGGTTTTCTCTTGGCTGGTCAGAGTTCAGCCACCTCGCTGGAGTGCAGGCCACAGGGCCATGCCAAGCTGATGACATCACGCTCCAGGAATGCCCGCCACTGTTAGCTCAGGAGGCCTGGGGTGGGGGTGGAGGTGCTCCCAGGGCCTTAACTCCCCAGCCCTTCCCTCACCTCCCTCATTACCCCTCCCCACTGCTTGCCCACTCTTGATTCCTTTGCTAAACCTTTAATCTCCTATCTCTGTCTGTCTGACTCCAGCACTCATTCTCTTCCCCTACTCCAGCCACTACCACCACCCCCGCCACTGCCCCCCACCTCTGCCTAGGTTCGTCTGTCTGACCTGTTTATAGGGCCTCTTCTGAGTATGCCTCTTTCCCTCTCTCTACCCCTTCTGTGTCTCATGAGTTTCTAAGTCAGCTTTTGTAAACCACTGGGCAGAGGGTGGAAGTGGAGATTTTGATCAGAAGAGGGCAGAGGAGGTGGCATACTAGCCCGTTCGCCACCCTGGGTCTCACTCCTCCCCTCTCCCTAACAATTTAGACATCCGGGAGCACTTCCTAAGCGTTGGTCACATGCCTTGTCAGCTCACAGAAGATCCTGGGTTCTCTGGGTTTCTCTGAGCTTGGGGGAGCCATCTAGTACAGCGGGAAAGGGAACTGACTATAGTGCGAAGTAAAGCACTCTGTCCCTAGCAGTAAGGTCAATATTTCCTTAGCTCTGCTGACAGTGTCCCCAGAAGCAGACAGATGGGGCTGGGAGAGCAGGAGAGCTGTGCACAGGCGAAGAGACCCCTAGGTTGAAAGGTCCCAGAGGGCAAGGCCTATACAGTGCTTCCATGGCCATTGTACAGCACCTTGTTCAGAGCTCATTTACCTTGTACCCCAGCCTGGGGTTTGGCTTTGCACTTCCTGATGGCTCCATGTGCACTGAAGAGGAAGGCATTCATTTAGGGAGGGCAGGATCCTAGGAAATTTTGAGGCAGGAACTGAAGGAGCAGTGAGCAGAGGAGAAGGGAAGTTGGCAGAAATGAAACCAAAGTAAATTGGAATTGTATCAAATGGGATTTTTGTGGAGCGAGAGAGGACAGACAGTCAGGAGCACAGGCCTGAAGTCCAGATTTAAATATATCACGCAACATTGGAGAACGGTGAACCTGGGGCAGGGAAGCCCTGTATGTGGGCCCTGGGATAGGCTCCAGTCCTTTGTCTACTGCTTCTAGGGCGAACTTTGCGCTGCAAGGCTTTCTACAGTGTCAATGGCTCCGTGTACTGTGAGGAAGATTATCTGGTGAGTGAGGGGTCCCCTGGGCCTGGAATTGGCTCCCACACTGGGACCCCCTTCTTGGTAGCCCTCTGGGGTTCCACCCATCAGGTCGTTTCTACTGGTAACATCCTCCCTTGGTCTTATGTTTTTGTCCCTAGTTTTCAGGGTTTCAGGAGGCAGCAGAGAAATGCTGTGTCTGTGGTCACTTGATTTTGGAGAAGGTAAGCAAAATGTCTTCAACTGAGAGTCTGTGTGAGGCTGAGGGGCCGAGGGTTGGGACTAGGGACAGAGTGGGTACTGAGAAAAGGTGGAGGGAGGAACCCTAGCACCACATGAATCACTTACATCTCCTTCTTCCCCAGAGCAGCTGTTTACAGGCTTCCCTCTGCTGGTAGGGTCAAGTCTGGATCCCTAGTTCTGCAGGCACAGCCAGGCTAGGCTCTCTGCTGAGCTAGGAGTGTGGGGTCCCAGGTCTTAATCCCCTTCCTGCTAGTAGCTGGGATCAGTTAGATCTCAGGGTTTGGGTTTTTTTTTTTTTTTTTTTCTATAAGAAGGAATAGGATTAGATCAGTGGTCCTCAACCCTAGTAGGTCATTTGGGAAGAAGTAAAGAAAATAACCGGCGCCTGGGTTGTCATTGGAGACAGCGATGAAAACTTCTGGGGTGATACCCAAGCATTGATGGGTTTTACAAGCTCTCCGGGTGATCCTAATATGCAGCCCGGGATGAGAAGCACCGGCCCGGATACTCTCTAAGATCTCTTTCAAGGTTTCTGCCTCTGTTTTAGGAGTCCCAGGGCCCCTCAGATTACATAGCATTGTTCTGGGAGGATAGCAGGGAGTAAGATGAAGTTGGGGGACGGCAGGGAGCACCATGCGGAGCTGGAGAACCTAGGAGTCTGATATTCCTCCCACCCTATGAGCCAGATTCTGCAGGCCATGGGGAAGTCCTATCACCCAGGCTGCTTCCGATGCATCGTTTGCAACAAGTGCCTAGATGGCATCCCCTTCACAGTGGACTTCTCCAACCAGGTGTACTGTGTCACTGACTACCACAAGTGAGTCTACTCCCTTGGGGTGTGGTGTGGAACTGGGCTCGGGGATTCCCCAACCTCAACTCCTCTCTGCTCTCTCTTTTTCAGAAATTATGCTCCTAAGTGTGCGGCCTGTGGCCAGCCCATCCTCCCTTCCGAGGTCAGTATGTCTGGGTTCTGCGGGGCAGCCAGTGCTGCTGCCCCTGGGAAGGGGACGGGGACATATGGCCTGTCTTCCCGAGGGAGGTGGTGGTGCTGAGGAATGTACTCTGCGAAGATTCCCGTGTGACTCTGCTCTCAGGGTCACCACCGTGACCTTAACATCCGGGCCTGGACATGTCTGACAGCCTCACTGGTCCCAGGCTTCATCTCGTCTCTCCCAGTCCAGAGGAGGAAACTTTCTTTGAGGTCAGGGTCACCAGATCCCAGATGTACAGGCTAGAAAAAGGTGGGAAGAATCCTCAGGGCCAATAGGAAGATGTCAGCAATGATTTGTGCTGCGCGTGCTACTCGCTTGCCTAGGGAGAGAATCCAAAAGCCAGTGAGGAACCAGACCCTCCTGGATCTTCCTTGTTCCCAGCTTAGCTTACATTACTTATGCTGCCTGCCCCTTTTTCCTCCCTGCAGCTGGGAGAAATAGGTAAGGGCAGAGCTGCCGGACAGAGGCAGGACTATGAGAGGACATGCCCTTGGAGGCAGCGCCAAGGAAGGGGAGGAGGAAAAGTACTAATAGGATTTGCAAAGGCCATCTCAAAGCTACAGATAGATGATCACAGAGAGCTCTCTCTGGAGGCCTTTTATGATACTCCTATTGGGGCAGGGAGGGTAGAGTTGGGATTGTCATGCTGTGCTTATCCTCTGGGGGTCTGCATCATTTCAGGGCTGTGAGGACATTGTGAGGGTGATTTCTATGGACCGGGATTATCACTTTGAGTGCTACCACTGTGAGGTGAGTGTTAGGGGCCAGGGCTGCTGGAGGAGAATGGGGATGGGGCCCGGGGAGGAGGCATGTCTCTGGACTGGCCAAGTCTGTAGGAGAAGTCTAAGGCATGGAAACCAGGCAAGTGCTCTGACCTGTCTCCAGTATCTCTCCCATCCTCCAGCCACTATCTCTGGTCCTGGGTGTTTAGTCCTTTCTGAATCTGGCTTCCCTAGAGGCAGAGGCGAGACTAAACTGGGGACTCCTGGTCCTGGTAACCACTGCAAATGGGAATCTGGCTCATTATTTCTGCTGTAGCAGCGACACCTGCTGTCCTGCTGAGGTACTTCTCAGGCTTCTCTGGGAGTCCATCCCTTCCAACCCCACCCCCTTTCTTCCAGTGTTAGGAGGCTGGTGTTAGCAGGGCAGACTCCCAAGATATCTGAGCTGCCTGGGCTGAGGTGAACTAGGGGTCCTTCTTCCCTAGGACTGCCGGATGCAGCTGAGCGATGAGGAAGGCTGCTGCTGCTTCCCTCTGGATGGGCACTTGCTCTGCCACGGCTGTCACATGCAGCGGCTCAGTGCCCGTCAGCCCCCTGCCAACTATATCTGACCTGCGGTCACCGCTGCTGCCTTCGCCACCCCTGACAAACTCCTCTGGCCAGAGGACCCCTCTGAGGCCAGCTGAGGCAAGGAACGCACTCCTAGGCCAGGCAGAAGAGTCCTCTGGGGAGGGCCCCAAGGGCCAGAGACCCAAAGATAAGACATTCCAAATGAACTGTGGAGAAGGAACCTTCCATTGCCATGGTGGGGTGACTGGCTTTCTTTCCATGTGTGCAGCCCGTGCTGTAGCATATACTCAGGCATGCACAGGCAGGTTCCAGTACTTTCTAGTCTGCATCTCCAGTATACATTTATGCATAAGTCAAGCAATGTTCTGGCTTTGGATTATAGGAAGAGAGGACACCATGAACACTCCTCACTCTTGCACCCCTCAGCTATAGGGTCAGCAGGGTCTTCCCACAGTACCTTATCTCTGAATCTGGATGAAGAGGTAGAAACTGGACTTTATTAATGAGTTGTTTTTTGGCCACCTTCGCTCTAAGGACCAGTAGAGCTGCTCACTTGTGCTGGGACGGGGGACAGCTCGGGGTGGGCCTGCTGCTTGTGTGGCCTGTTTCTCAGGGACTCACGTGGGCCTGGGAAGGCTAGGTGGGTGCCTATACTGGCTTCCTCTTCTCTTCGGCTCGGGGATGTAACAGGTGGATCTTTGGGAGTGGGGGGCACTGAGCCCTCCAGCCCTGTTTATACACACATAGGCATATTTCACAGACACACACTCACTCCCTCACTCCTTTCTTCTCAGGTCACTGTTACCCGAGTTCTCTCACAGTAGCTCACCACTCCAGACCTGCCACCCCACAGAGGGATCCAGGATTACAACCACTACATACCCCAAGCTCTGAGGTTCTGGGGAGCCAGAGGGGCAGCACACTTTGACCTGGTTCTAGTCTGTTTGTCTAAAATTGGTCTCTTAAAGCAAATTCACAGGAGACTTAAATGCTTAAAGTTTACTTTGCTTTTTTCCAGTTGAGAAAAGATGGTTTTATTAAAAGCACAGAGACAAGACACTTGGGCAGAAATTGCTGCCAAAGTTTACGTCACTTAATGACCAGTTTGCCAAAAGTTCCAATTCTCTTTGGAGTGTTTTTATAGCCATTTAGGGGTTCTGTTTCTATGTTTTGGGTGTTTTAAGGATTTGTATCTATTCATTGAACAGTACTTCTGATTTATTGTTAACATAAATTTATCAAATTTGCAGCACTTTGTAAATGATGAGATTGCTTCTTACCTTTATGGACATCTTTTCCTATGTTATCTACTTTTCAAATGCTTTTCTAAAAAGTTTAAAGTTCCTAGCAATAAATATAATTGGTACAGATATTTCGTGTATCATTTTTTTGTGTTTCTTAATCAAATATTCCTTTACAAATTAGGTGCCTTGGATAATGTAATGGAGCTCATGATTTTGATGCTTTGGTCTAACTTCTACATTCCTGCTGTTAAAAATGCCAACGTATTCTAATGAACAAATGAACAAGCATGGGGCATATTCAGTTGGCTAAAAAAGTTTACATAGACAAGAATGATAAAAAGTGAAAGGGTGGATCTACTAAATCCTTTTGAAATGCTGCAGATTTGATAAATATTTTAGACTGTCTCTAGGTGAATTGGTTCTAGGCAAATTAATACGCTAATCTTATATCCTTTATTCTCTGTCGCTTAGAGTAACATTGGATATGGTGACTCCCGAGAACAGAAATCCTGCGTTTAGGGGTTATTCTAAGGTGGCTGTGTCAGCCAAGCCGGGGTCACAGAGAAGAGGCCTGTGCATGAGTGTATGAGTGAAAGGGAGAGCTCATATCTATACCACTGACTGCCAGAGGGATGCACTTTTTTTCGAGGGATAAATGTTCTGAAACTAGATGACTTGGTCTACAGCTGAGATTGCTTCTTCTGAATTATTATTATTAAATAAGTGAATTCAAAGACTCTGGGTAATTTTCTCACCAGGCTGTTCTGCGCATGCGAATCCAGACAAACATGTATATCTTTACGTCCATCCCTTCTTTGACTCTTGGGGGGTCGTGTCCACTTCAATCTTTTGATTTCTACTCTGATTTCAGCCTCCCATCTGTTGCTGACTGACTGATTCCTTTCTGGGTCTGTGCTCATCTGTGCCAGCCCTGGAGCTCCCCAAGACTCTGTTCTTACCCCTGGGGCTACTCTCTCCCTCCTTCCCAAGAAAAAACAAGTGCTGATGAGGCCTGGCCCGGGGAGGGCAGGCCGTGGCAGAGGAGCAGCCTCAGCCACCTCATACCACTGGCAGGCTCCCAAGTGTGACTGCGTCACAAGAATTTCCCTTCTTTTTCTCTGGGAGACTGTACATCTGTACATATTAAAGGTTCTATTTAATCTGTACATATTAAAGGTTCTATTTAATATCTACAACTGATAGATTCCTGGGGCTCTGCAAAGGAGAGCACAACAGGTAGACCTTATTTGGCCAGCTTACCACCTGGTTTTCATCAACAGCCACTAGGCCTAAGATGGGGAAAGGGGAAATGGAAGGATTACACATCCATTTTGTGTCTCTGGATGAGTCACAGTACAGGGGTCAGGCTTTCACGGCCAACTTTGGCTCTTTGCTCTGGTCAGCCCCATTGACTACAGGCTTGAACGTGGTTTGTGAAGAATAAGGCTGGTGGTGGTTCTCTCTGCTCACTCCTTAGAGACCTGCTTCCCCCTTCACCACCTGGAGCTCTCTAGCCCAGGGAAATGGTAAGATTCCATTTGTAATCAGGCTAGAGACTGTCCTCAGTCGAGGAAGTAGAGAAAGCTATTTTGAAGCACGTAAAGCCAGCTGGATGAGGTCCTTGAGGTTGTACCTAAAGGGATATAACGAGAGACAGGAGACCAATAGAACTTAGACAGAAGAATTGGAAAAATCAGGGAGCAAAAGCATTTTCTTGTTTAGAAGGATCTAGAGAAAAAAAGAAGAAGGATCTAGAGCCCAGAGCTGGCCTGGGGTCACCTGGAGCCCAAATATGAGGGACCTCCAGAACAGGGATAATCTCTGTTCTCTCCATTCTGCCTCACAGCAAAGGAAGACCTAAGATAGCCTCTGCTGTGCCAATTCCTGGTGTAGACCCCTTGGAATATCCACACTTGGCCCTGGTTGTGAAGAACTGAGGTTTGACCCTGTAAACAAGCCAAGTGACACTGGGATGGATGAATTAGAGCAGTCTAACTGGTGTTTGGAGAGTTGTCAGAGGCAGATTCCGTCCACCTACCCCTTAGAAAGGATCGCACTGCCCCATGTGAAGGGAGCAAGGCAGCTATCCAAGCAGGGAGACGTGGGTTAGGAGAAACATCTGCTGAAAGGTGCAGGTTAGGCTCGAATGCTAGAGTTAGAGCCAAGCAGGGTGTGATTTTAGAGAGAACCCAGTGACCTCATTTGACCGAAGGAAGAAATAAACTGAGTGATAACAGCACTTTACCCAAGGTCGTGCAACTGGAAAATGACTTTCTCACTTTTGAAGACTTAAGAAAGAGCTTATTTCCCCCTCTTCCCTCCCACACCAGCCCTCATCCTCATCACAGGGACTCCCACAAGTAAATTGTAAATTAGATCAGCTCTTCATTATGATAGATAATTAAGGAAAGTTTTAGTGGGAAAGCCAGGGAATTCAAGAGACAATAATGAAAACTTTGGGCTCTTACTAGTGCTTTTTTTTTTTTTTTTTCTAATTTGAATTAGAAATAACCAAAGCACCTTTAAAAGCACATTAGGAGGGACACCTGGGTGGTTCAGTGGTTGAGCATCTGCCTTCGGATCAGGGCATGATCCTGGAGTCCTGGGATCAAGTCCTACATCAGGCTCCCTCCATGGAGCCTACTTCTCCCTCCACCTGTGTCTCTGCCCCCTCTCTCTCTCTCTCTCTCTCTCTCTCTCTCTCTCTCTCTCTCATGAATAAACAAAATCTTAAAAAAAAAAAAAAGGCACATTACAACAAGCAAAGGAAAGACGGCTGCAGGAGAGTCCCTGCCCTTGAGGAGGTCACCGTCTAGCCAGGGAGACAAAACACACCCATAAAATGCCTTGAGAAGATTACAAGCAACATGTCACCAAGTGCAAAGTAGTTGAGTGTTACAAACAAAAGACCTAATGCTGCAAGGTACAGATGACAGGAGGAGACTTTGTTGGACTTGGATTGTAGATCAGAAGGTGGCAGCCTATAGACAAATCCTGCTGCCAGGAAATGCATTCTTTGGCCCACTGGGAGTTATTTTTTATGATATTAATTTGAACCCTCATTAAGCAGGAGTAAATGCCAGCTAACAAATGTAGAAAGAAATGATAGAGTTGGACAAACAGCATTTTATGAACTTGAATAAAATTATTGATTCTGGTAAAGTGTATTAATTGGAGTTAAAATGATAAGTGAAATGGTTTGCAGACAAGTGGACATTAACATAGTGCCAAGTAACCCATCAGTTTATGGTCTTGGTCTCACTAACCAGTCGACCAGTTCTGGTGGGAGGCAAATATATAATCCAACCTAGTGTGTAGTCTAGCTGTACCCCACTTGTTTACAGGTTACAGTGCCTGTAGCTTACAGTTTACAGGCAGTGCTGGGAATTGAGAAAGTAACGGATGCTAGGAGGAAGCAACTAGACAAACCTAGGAGGTTAGGTGTTCTGCGGGGCAACTGGCCAACTCTCTTCAGTATGATTTTTTTTTCTTTTTTTAAAATTTAGTGTATGTGCTGCCAAAGTGAGCGCATCTTTTTTTTAAATTCAACTAACCAACATATAGTCATCATTAGTTTCAGATGTAGAGTTCAAGAATTCATCAGTTGCATATATTGCCCAGTCATCACAGCACATGCCCTCCTTTAATGCCCATCACCCAGTTACCCCACCTCCCCACCCACCTCCCTCCCAGCAACCTTCAGTTTGTTTCCAAGTCAGTATGGTTTTTAAAAAATTCAAAACTGCTAGATTAGAGAGACTTAAGCTATCTGATAATGATACATGTGTGATCCTGGATTCCCTATTGGTTTAAGAAAATTGCTATAAAAGGTATTTGGAGTCAACTGGAAATTTTTTTATATGGACAGGAGATTAGTTGAAAATTTACTGAGATGGAAAGGTCAAAATCATTAATAAAATGCCAGTTATGAAACGAGTACAGAGTACTCATATTTTGTTTTCAAAATGTCTATATATGTATGAAAAGAAAAGATTTGGAAGGGTATGCATTAAGGTGTTAGCAATGGTGATCTCTGAGTGGGAGAGTATGTTTTATTATTGTTGGCCTACATTTTCTATTTTTATACAATACACGTGTACTGCCTCAATAGTAATAATAAGCTGTTACAAATAAAATAACTGGTTGTCAACATTTACAGTTCAGGAAATTTCACATAAAAATCTGGACATTATACATGAAGAACAGAGTTTCTAAAGTTTTTTGAATCATCAGAAGATCTGTCACCCTGGCCTTACAGTCTCACAAGGCAGCAACTAGTTGGAACCAAGTGATGGCTGCTCCTTTATTGGGTATATTCTCTCCTTTATTCGTCACAGTCCTTACCACCCTCTGTGCTTCACACACTGCTTACCTGCCTGGCTCACGTAGACTTTTGATGATTTGGATGATCCTGATGGGCTCCCCATCCATAGAACCTCCCATTAATAATCATTTAATAATCATTTAATAATCATTTAAAGATATCTATAAATTAGTTTTGAAATGTTGCCCAGGAAAAGCATGCATTCCAGAATGACCTATGCCTGGGTTTTTGTTTTGTTTTGTTGTTTTCTTAAGATTTATTTATTTGAGAGCAGCCTGGGTGGCTCAGCAGTTTAGCGCCGCCTTCAGCCCAGGGCATGATCCTGGAGTCCTGGGATCAAGTCCCACGTGGGGCTCCCTGCATGGAGCCTGCTTCTCCCTCTGCCTGTGTCTCTGCCTCTCTCTCTCTCTCTCTCTCTCTCTCTCTCTCTCTGTGTGTGTGTGTGTGTGTGTGTGTCTCATGAATGAATAAATAAAATCTTTAAAAAAAAGATTTATTTATTTGAGAGAGAGAGATAGAGCATGACTAGCGGGAGGAGCAGAGGAAGAAGGAAAGGGAGAATCTTAAGCAGACTCCCTGCTGAGTGCAGAACCCCACTCGGGTTTAATCGACTGAGTCATCCAGGCATCCCTATGCCTGGATTTTTCATATGGCAACCCAGTCATGGGAAACCCAGATGTAATATTTAATCTACTTAGCTACCATGGTTGTATACTGTAAATTAGTTTAGCAAAATTTCTGTTGGTAAATGGAGTTTAGAAAGTATACTAAATTGCTAACTTCCTCAAGGTTTTGCTCTTTTTT